TAGTTATATCAAAATCAGTAATAAAGCTGCTGTTATTATATCCATTCATTAAGGAGCAAGAGATTGTTTTCAGATCTTCCTCATTGTTAAATTCCACATGAAACTGATGCGTTTCCCATGACACTGTTTTTATATATGGATTATTACTCTGTCAAGTCTGAATGTCACCAGCCTTGTGACCTGAACAACAGAATCACAACATACAGCAGCATTTATAATCTGTAGCATGTTTACAACCTGTGAGTTACAGCTTAGAGATAAAACTTGTATATATTTTTTAATGAAAACAGTTTTAATTTATCTTTTGAGCTTCTGAAATTAAGCATTTTTAAAAGGTTTGTACTTCAAGCTTTCTTTTATGACTTCCTACAAGAGAAAATGCTTTAAACTTTTTTTTGTTTAATAAGGAAATAACCACATTTCTAGCACAGGCTGCATTCTTCATGATGCATAAGGGCACTAGAACACAGCGGCATCTCGGCAGCTTATGTTTTTTTGCATAAGTTGACCAATCTGCCACAGTGTTCATGTGCGACCAACCCAACAGTATTTGTACTATGAGGTTTGGAAAGTTCATACATTCATGTCTTCTGCTTCATCCAGGATCTTGCCACTGCAGAGAGACTCAAGAGACAAGTCCAGACGGAGAGAGATGAGCTCCAGGATGAGATTAACAACAGCAACACCAAGAAGTATGAACCAAATGATAACAATACCTGTCTTATACCTATGGCTATAAATAAACTAGTCCCACAGTGTAATAATGCTGACGCAATATGGATACTCACATTTCAGCAACAACTGAAATCTGACAGCAACAAAAACTGTAAAGATGTAGTTACAATGCATTTGTCAGATGGGAGCTCAAGAAAACTAAATTTATATCATGATGATCTGTTTAAAAATACATCATCAGCTCAAAAGGAATCTACTAGACTGTCTCGGTACATTAATGGTCACATTTCCTCTTCATCACTCGTTTGCAGTTCTCTGCTGGCTGATGAGAAGAGGCGGCTGGAGGCTCGCATCGCTCAGCTGGAGGAGGAGCTGGAGGAGGAGCAGATCAACACTGAGATAGTCAATGATCGTCTGAAAAGAAGCACGCTGCAGGTAAAGACACTCGACAACTCAGTGTCTGCTGACCACAGCTGGGACGATACCAGAACCCTGTGTTTAGTATGAGTGGTGATGAAAAGGTGAAGAAAACATCTGTCAGGGGAAAAACTCCTAAAAACCGAAGATTGCAGTGGAGTACCAAAGCTGGAAAAACAACGATATGATTTACTTTAACGGTATCTCTACTGTGTGTCTGTATCATTAGGCTGAGCAGTTGACCACAGAGCTGGGCTCAGAGCGCAGCACCTCCCAGCGGCTGGAGGGAACTCGGTCCCAGATGGATCGCCAGAACAAGGAGCTGAAACTGAAGCTGCAGGAGCTTGAGTCAACCATCAAGTCCAAGTACAAGTCCTCCATCACCACCCTCGAGGCCAAGATTGCTCAGCTGGAAGAACAGCTCGACATAGAGTCAAAGTGAGNTCTTATTCCTGTCCATCTTATTCTCCTTCTTTTCTTCTTCGGCCTTCAGCTGGCAGAGATGAAGAAGAAGCTGGAACTGGAGACGTCGTCGCTGGAGGGGGCGGAGGAGGGCCGCAAGAGGATCCAGCGGGAGATGGACAGCGTGACGCAGCAGCTGGAGGAGAAGACTGCAGCGTACGACAAACTGGACAAAACAAAAACTCGTCTGCAGCAGGAGCTGGATGACCTGCTGGTGGATCAGGCTCACCTGAGGCAGATCGTGTCCACCTTGGAGAAGAAGCAGAAGAAGTTTGATCAGGTATCACGCTAACTTTGTGTTTTGTGCCTGAAGCCAAAGGATCATAGTGGACTAAAATGTTCCTTAATATACATTTTTTTTGATCAAATGTCCTGCAGATTCTTGACTTCCCTTCTTGACGCTTCTTTCTCCGTAGATGCTGGCGGAGGAAAAGACTATTTCTACTCAGTATGCGGAGGAGCGTGACAGGGCCGAGGCTGAAGCCAGGGAGAAGGAAACGCGAGCGCTGACGCTGGCCCGCGAGCTGGAGACCATGACGGACATAAAGGACGAGCTGGACCGGGCCAACAAAATGCTCAAAGCTGAGATGGAAGACTTGGTCTCGTCCAAGGATGATGTCGGCAAGAGTGTAAGAGAAAACGCTGGTGTTTGTTTGGTGCAGGGCAAGCTTTAAAGACATGAACTGTGTCTGAATGATTCTGGGCATAGATTTTGCTAAAATGACAACTCTTAAAGTTAGAATTGTCAAAATTCTCACAATTCTTGATCCATTCACTGCTTAAAAATGCTAAATGCAAACTTGTCATCTGCAGGTTCATGAGCTGGAGAGGTCGAAGCGTGCCATGGAGCAGCAGCTGGAGGAGATGCGAGTTCAGCTGGAGGAGCTGGAGGACGAGCTGCAGGCCACAGAAGATGCCAAACTGCGTCTGGAAGTCAACATGCAGGCCATGAAGGCCCAGTTCGACCGAGACCTGCAGGCCAGAGACGAGCAGGGAGAGGAGAGGAGGAAGCAGCTCGTTAAACAGGTACGAGAGAAGATGCTAAAGTAGGCAATTCTTACAAATCATTTCAGTTCAAAAAGTTAAATAAAATGAGCACAAATGGATTCAACGTCCTTCGTCTGCTTCAGGTGCGCGAGATGGAGATCGAGCTGGAGGATGAACGCAGGCAGCGCACTCAGGCTCTGTCGTCCAGGAAGAAGCTGGAGATGGACCTGATGGACCTCGAAGCCCAGATCGACGCTGCCAACAAAGGCCGCGATGAGGCCCTCAAACAGCTGAAGAAACTCCAGGTGAAATACACACACATCCACAGACATGCACACAGGAAAGAGTCATGTAGAAGATTGATGGGCTTCACA